AAAAATATTTAATAAATATTAAAAAATATTTTTTTAATATTTGTATGCTGATTGGAACGCTATAATTTCTTCGACATATATACATTTGAGAACTGGTATAAAAGAGACATTTTAAAAAGGATACGAGCCAATAAATTATGTTAAATAACAAAGAGAAAATATCTTTTATAATGTGATTAAATTATGTTCTATTTATTCTATATTTTCATTTCTCGCGTATTTATCCTTTATATTTCCATTACAGGTACATTATTCATTCTTTTATACTTTATAAACATTGATTCATATCCTTTTTAAAGATTAGATGTAGTTTCCTAGCAATAAGAAAGATTCATCAATAACTTTCACATGAGATCCATAAGAGATTCAAGAAAAATTTTGATATTAATTCATCCGTTACAGTGAATTTAATATTAAATTACCCGACATTACATTTATGTTTTTCAGAGTTATCATATATAATTAATTATGTATTTCGATTAAAAAATACATTTATTTTTTATAAAATATGAAATAAAATAAGATAGAAATCAATTGATCTAGAAAAATGACTTAAAACATTTTTGGATCAATTTCAAAAGCAATTCTTGTAATATTCATTGCATGGGATCTTTTTTAAATTATACCTTTTTATTATATGTATATAATGGAAAATTCGAATGCAAGTATAGTTTTTACAAAATGAATTTTTGCAGAATTCTGTTTTATATTTTTCATCTTTCCTCAGAACAAACTATATGTAAAAAACAAATATATATAAATAGTTTTTCTTGTCCTCGCCCTCCCCCCCCCCTCTCTCTCTCTCTCTCTTCTCTTTCTCTCATCTTCATCTAATATAATATTATTAAAAATTAAAAAGTAACGAATGGATTAATATATGGATCTCATCTGATATTAATATCATCGATATCATCGAAAATATCTTTAAGATTCTTCTTGAAACCAACTATGAAACATATACATATAGGAACTGAATATTTACAAATCTCAGGTCTCTTCCGATCTGTTGTTAACGCATTTGCCGTTCGTACACGCGAAACTGCGGCCTATTCCGTATTTCTTCATTAAACGTTTAGGCGAGGACAAATCATAGGAAAATTTAAAATCATAGAAGCTCGAATTCTCGAACATCGAGCTCGAATCTCTCAATATTCTCGGATTGTTTAATGAAAAGAGAAATCATGAAATTTTGACGAAATACTACAATCTAACGGCGTCAAGTAACAGTTATTCTTAAACTGACGGCCCAACCGCGCGTGTAATATATTTTTATATCCCGCAGCGACTTCGTACAACGTTAATTATATATGTATTAACGATTTATCTATCGAGAAAAGCGCGAGATTGTTTTTATTTCGGTAAGTGCCCAGTGGTCGATTGTTGGCGAACTTTTGCTAACTTTTTAACTTTCTACTTTTTAACTCACGTCAAAATCTCATTCAATAAAATATCATCGTTTCACATTAAATAATTATGCGACCGCACTCTCAAAAAGTTCATGAAATTCTCACTTTTCCTAATAGTTACGAATAGATTTGAGAAAAATGTATTACATTTTGAGAAACATGTGTTGCATTTTAAGATAATAGTTATCTCCGTTTCAAAATTGACAAAATAATCTCTCGAGATTTTAGGGTTAATTAATTTACTTTTGTCAAGGAAACACATAACATACTGCCCAATTTTTATTTTCTGAGAATAAATATTTCTTAAGAATTATTTAGAGAAAGCTTTATCATTTATTATTTATAATGAGCTCACGGAGAGAAAACGAGAATCACGAAAAAAGAAATCGTTTTAAAATTTTCGAGGCTTTATATAAATTTTCATAAATAAATAATTACAAGAATAATGAATTACAGGAAATGCTAGAGTGATCAGAACTGTCTTACAATTAGATGAAATCGTTAAACAATAGAAAAATTTGAAATAAAAACTTTTATGCAATTTCAGACAAAATTGAAGCATAATGTTCCGATAAGCACAAATAAATAACAAATTGATGAAAAAAATTACGAGAATCCTGAAAATTTGAAAGATTGCTCTCGCGAGTACTTTCAATTATATAGAAGAAATTGTTAGAGGTATCGCAATTGACTTTAAAGAGTTAAGAAATTTATATTATGGAATTATTTGTTCCAATGCTTTAATATTTAACACTAAATAATTAACTAAATTTACTTTGATAATTAAATCTAAATCAAAATTTTAAAGAAATGAAATTCATCTGTGTTTAAATAAATAGTAAACTTAATTCATAAAGAAATTCTTATGTAATTTGAAAATGGTGCCTCCATATCTAATTCATAAAACTGTACTTTCAAATTAGTTAAGAAATATTTATTATTGAAATTGATGTCGGATTGTAAGACATGCTGTACATTAAGAATTATTTGAATATGATTGATAGATAAATGTTATGATCAAAACATAATTGATCTTTGTATAGGATCTTTCTCATTGTTTTCAAATGTAAAAAATATTGAACGGTAATATAATAAGAAATATACAATCCTTTGCAATATACATATTGTTGATATGTAAATTAACAATTCAATATCAATAAATATCATAACAATAGCGCGTCTCTTAAAAGTCGTCTGGTATTTTTCTACCAGGAATATGTAAATTTAATATATCAAGTGACCGAGATGCGTCAATGTCTTTCATAATTTTCTAACCCCTCGTTAAAACGGCTTACATGTTTGCAAAACCGCGATTTTACATAGTAAAATTAAGAGAGCTGTATCTACAGTTATTACTCTATAGTGGAATGTATGTACGAACATGTAAATAATTCATATTTAACGAAGTAAACATAATCGAACTGTGATCGAAGTATAAGTGGTATATAACTGAATAAGAAACACTATTAGATGATCGATGTTTCTTACAAACGATCCGTGATGAAATTTAAAAAGCGAAGAGACATAAGTGATTGAAATAAGAATTATCAAAATTATTAAACACGTGAAAGATATTCTTAAATCAGATAATACATAATTTTATCCGTACACGCAATAAACAGAGTCAAGATAAGAATAATTTTGTTAATAATTAAGTCTCTTAGTTTCTAGTCGACATAAACTAAAAGTAAAATAATATCAATATTATAATTTCGCACTCAACAATATAAATGTAATATAACACAAGATATAATGTAACGGATACATTATTGAGTACAAAATTACAACATTAATGTTCTGTTACTTTTAGTTGGTGTTCACTGGTCTGAAATATTCAATAATGCAATTTAAATAAAAAAAAATCAACATAAAATTTATGAAAAAGATTATTATTTTCAATTTTGATAAAGATCTTCATGTAAAAGTAGAAGATCAATTTACTTCAGATCATTGATAACGTAAATTATTTTTCATTCATTCATATTAAATCAATATACATTTGTTGAAAAAATGACTGTTTAAACAATTTCTCACGACAATCAAATATGTTAAAAGCATTTTAATTCTTTTAAGAATTTCAACGATATTGTTCAGAACATAGCAAAGTATCTTATACAATTCAGAGTTTTCTGAAATTCTTCAAAGTATCACCGGTTCTAGTTCTGATATAATTAATGCTGAGACGCGGATAAGCATCGGTGTAAAATTTTTAAATCAGTGTAACCCTTGCATGCTAATTGTTGTAACATATCAATAAAAAAAATATTCCAAAATTAATCAAAGCTGTGTATTTTTACACGAAAAACAATTGCATACATATCATATATAATTATATATAAAAATATATGTATAATTTTTTAATAATAATTCGTCACGTTTCATTCTATAGTTATAAATTCATATTACATTTTAACGCAAATCTAACAAAAACATTTTAATTTTAAAACCAACAATACTCGTACATTGATTAATTTTAAAAAGGAAACAGTGAATAGGGATATCTAGCAATTATCCGGTATTCAGCTCATCCGGCCTCTTTTTTCAATCCGGCCATTTGATTGGATTAGTTCGACTATCCAATCGGATTATAAAAAAGGTGTTTTTCACTTAAGATGGAAATAATTATATATATTTAAAATTTAATTTCTCAAAAAAATTTTTCAAAATATTTTGTTATATAGTATTCGACCAGTCTAACT